TATGGTGTAATTGTAGGAAATTGTATTAAAGGGAATATATTGACAGACAGAACGGCTCTTTAATCGATTTATATTTACTGTTCTTTAGGTTGCATGAAAAATGAAAAGGAAGTCTGTTGAATGAAAAACAGTATCATATAGGCGTAGTCAGAAGTGAGACCGGACGGTAAAGGCGATAGAACGATCGGGGTGGTAGTCCTAACGCGATGGTTGCAGGTAGATCCAACTTCTAATGGTTGTGGGGGCACACCTCCCCTCCCCTGAGAGCTTTAGTCTACCCCACCATCTCTGCTTCCCCCTTCACCCGGACTTTCCCTCCTCCAACAGCTTCTCTCCCGACTTCCCTGAGGGACACAAGCTGCTTAAACTCCTCAGGCCTGGCCTCTGGACGCCCGCACTGCGCCACTACTCCGGGAACTAAGAGCAATTACATTAGATTTTTGTTCTTTGATCTTGTTTTCTTCTTACCTGGCTCCCAGTGCCGTGGGCGTTTTCATCTTTGATTATGTTTATGTGCATTGGGGATCTCTGCGGTTTTTAATAAGTTCTAATGAATGGAAAGCGCGGATGATGGTGATGCTGAGCGAGGGAGTAGGTAATCATTTTAGATCATCAGAAGTGGGATTCCTGGGAAAAAAGACGATTTTGAAGCTGATAGAAGCGGCGCGTCTTTGGTTGACTCGTATATCCATCCCGAAAATGTGTCGATGTAAACATCAAGGAAATTAGCAGCTTTTGTCCTTTCATATTGGGTCAGGTATCGTATGTATATACTAGTATGTGTTACATGAATGATACTCAGAGCACTTGGAGGTCACTATCTCCTGAAAGACCTCTTCGAAAGTGAATGGACAACACGCAGAGTCAATATTGTATTCTGAAGCTATTTCGTTTCTTGCCTTTGGAAATTCATGGCTCACATACAACGTTTGAAGGATGACTATGATACTAATATGGCTTCTTCATTTTAGATTGGTTTTCCATATTAAGAGTTCCCTGTACTTAGGTAACAGTTAAACCGTTACCTGGCAGTATGAGGAGAATATATTTCGAAGCAGGAAGGCCACAACAGAGAGCGATCGTGGAAGTGGCTGAACGTACATCTTCGAGTCATGTGGTCCTTCCTCTTTAAAGTCATTACGGAGCCTTCACCTGGTAGCCGCTAGGAGGCCATCGCGCTCACCGTAGAAGGATATTGTACACCATTATCTCTATTTACTTTATATAGACTTTGCTGTACACTGCAGCCTTGTGTTGGTGTGTGTGCAGTGGTATTTCGAATCCTATTGAGGTACAGGGTGCGTTATTGATGATGTTTTGTGTGATGTCATTTTTATTGGAACAAGGTATAATATGCTATCATTTTCTAATCATCTTAGAGGGGTAGTTACTTGTATATGGAAAAAGATATGACATTGATAAAAGAATATAAACCAAATAAAAAACGACAATGATGGAGTGGGTTCTTTGTGCTCACTCTTACCGTCTAACAAGGGACGCCAGGTCAGGCACTCCCGTGACTGGTGAGATGCCAAGTTCAGTCACCTCTGAAGAGTGGGAGAGTGCCAGCGAGCCAGACAGGTCAGCAGATCTCTCTCTCTCTCTCTCTCTCTCTTTCTCTCTCTCTCTCTCTCTCTCTCTCTCTCTCTCTCTCTCTCTCTCCCTCCCTCCCTCCCCCTCCCCCCCTCTCTCTCTCGCCCCCACCCTCCCTCCCTCTCTCCCTTCCCCCCCTCCCTCCCTCTCTCCCTCCCTCCCTACATCCCTGTCTCCCCCTTCCTCTCTCTCTCTCTTTCTCTCTCTCTCTCTCTCTCTCTCTCTCTCTCTCTCTCTCTCTCTCTCTCTCCCTCTCCCTCTCCCTCTCCCTCTCCCTCCTTCCCTGCCTTTCTCTCCCTCTCTCCCTCTCCCTCTCCCTCCTTCCCTGCCTTCCTCTCCCTCTCTCCCTCTCTTGCCCTCCCTACATACCTCCCTGTCTCCCCCTTCCCCTCCCCCTCTCTCTCCCTCTTCCTCCCTCTATTCCCTTCTCATCCTCTTGTCAGTCCCCCCGTCTACCCCCCTTTATCCCTCTCACCTTCTCTCCTTCTATCACCTTTTCTCCCTCTATCCAAGTCTCTCCCTCTATCCCCCTCTCTCCCTCTATCCCCCTCTCTCCCTTTCTCTCCCTCTATCCTCGTCTTTCCTTCTATCCCTCTCCCTCTCCCTCTTTTAACATGCTGAGGATGTTAGGTCATTCACCTTTGTGGACGATGAAGGAAGCAAAGAGGTGACATCTATTTTTACGCCGAAGCCAGTACAAGTGGATGGCAGGAGTGAAGGCTTGGGAGTTTGCTAGGGTTCAGAGATAACGAATAGGGGGTTGAACGGCTGATATTAAGATGTACAATAAGCTTGAAAGTGGCGTTGTCAATGCTGGTTTATTTTGCTGCTGTTGTTATTGCAGTTGTGGTGACTGTCTTCCTTTAGCTTTGGCACCATTGTTCGTCATTGATCATTGTTGTCATTAAAGCTGAGATATTTCAATGGCAGCAGGCGAGATTGCAGGACTCGTAAAACAGCAATAAAGCTTTGTTATCAGGTTAATGAAATCAGAGAAACTGTACGTATTCTACATTCCAAAGATGACGTTTTGGATATAGGTATTACCGGTTCAGTTTTAAGGAAAATAATATGGTCTAATGTTCAAGTAGCTAATGTTCCCAGGAAATCCTTTTAAAGGACAATGTTTGTATTTTACATTGTTTGTTTATATCGTGGATGAAATTTATGTTGTCCAATACTTATTAAAAATGTTTTTATTAACATTTGCAAGATATAGTACACCTAAATCCTCTTTCTTTTATTTGTCAAATTTACATTTGCTTTTGTTATTATTATTATTTTAGGTATTATTGTTACTGTCAGCGACGTTGTTCTTGTTAGCATTGTCATTACTATTATCAGTTATTACTCTTGTTTAGTTTAAGGAAAACACTCTTTCACTAGAATGAATGCTGAATGAAAAACCTTTACAGTTTTGCCTGACAAGTAATTCATGTCAGTCACCGGTAATTCTGCTTTTGTGTGGCTTCCCGGGGTTACTTTTACCGAGTAAGTCTAATCAAGCAGGGCAGCCACGTTTTAACCCCGCCTATTTCCGCATGCAAGGAATGGGGGAAATTTGTTGTGGAGTATGCCGTGCAGTCGACCTTTAACACATCACTACACTGACAAAGTATAACTTCATGTAAACAACAAATGCCCAGTTACAAAATAAACAGTACTCGGTATGCAAGGAATGTGGAATGTTTTTGTTTTTGTTTTTTTATCTTCATGATAACTTGTAAGGCTTTGATTACACAAGAACACTAATTACCATTTCGTCTCGCCAGATAAAAACGGTCCCAGGTTATCTTAGCGAGAATTTGACGCGTGAATCCGATATCAAAGTTAATGAAGAGCGTAGGTATTTATATATTTTATCTTTGTAATATCGGCATTTCTAACAGTAAGAAGAAACGAAAGGTTCATATGATTTCGTTATCAAGGGTTTCATTTAATTAATAAAGAGTGGTATGTTTCTTGAGTGAGGTCAGACACCTTGAATACCTCTAGCCGTGGCTGTAGGCCTATCAAGAATTGTGAGAACGTAATCAGTCTCATACTATCGTTATTTGTGTTTG